ATCTGACATGTAGTTTTCCTTCAGGAAATATTCAGTTTTTAGTTTTAAACAACTCCCTTAGAAGCTTTAGGGTTCTTAGGATGCCTAGAGTCAATTTTGAACAATTTTGTAACTTACTACAGGGAAACTTAATTCAAATTCAACAAAACACTGAAAGAGGTAGTGCTTTGGGGTACTTAACTTCCTCAAAGGACCATCAGTATGAAACCTCAGATGGGGAGAAACAACATGTAAATAAAATATGTCAACCTAAACCCATGGTAAATAGCAAAAATAGCTCTCTCCTCTTAGGGAAGAAAAATCGTATTTCATATTATCAGGACATAGAAATATTCACTGTGGCAGTAAAATTAGGAAAATGCATTGTTTCACTGTCAGAAAGTGGGATAAGGTTCTTCTGCATTGGAAGAGGTTCAATTATTGGCTGCAAATACAAGGTCTAATTCCCTGATTCTTATTTGAGAAAGATAACTGTTAACACTGGCCTTCAAGTCTTCATTCCCAAAGGAATTCCTTCCTTTGGTGCTTCCAGAGGGGACTTCATGGTCCAGGGGAGGGGTTTTCATTCAGTGGGCTTTCAGCATTGGGTGCTGATGAGGGTGTGTGACTCAGGGCTTCAGTTACACTGTGGGGTTTTCTGATCTGGGACAAGCTCTATGACAGCTTTAATGCCAGAAAACCACAAATGATGCGTTGGCTGTTCTCTTTTCATGATTAATTTAGGCAGGAATAAACCTCAAATTAAATATAAATTCCTGTCTCTTGCAGACTGTTGGTAGTAGTGGGTGTGTGGCTGTAGGCTCATAAGTAACAACTTCTTTCACACTGGAATTAACAGTAGAACCACCTCAGTATATGTATTTAGAAAACTGAGCACCATATTTTTATTAATATTCAGTAGTGCTACTCTTCCAATATCGTTCTCCAAAGGAGATGTAAATATCACGCACACTTCTTCCATTAACAGATTCAGATTTCTGAACTTACCACATTGTTTATGGTGCTCTAGCTACATAATAGAATAACATCTGATATAAGAAGAGTTTAGAAAATAACATATTTAATCAGGAAGTACAAGAAAACCGCTATTCTTTCCCAAAATTCCTAAATTTATTTGGTTTTTTTCCAGATTTCCTATGCCATGGTACAACTGTGACACCAAGACTCTTCTGCCATACATACATACAAGTATTTAAAATAGCTGAGTGTTATTATTTTTTAACTGTATACTCACAGTCAATGATTACTGCTATGCATATTATAATATCTTTGTATGCTAATCCTGTGTAAAATCTGAGATTTACACTGAGATTTGTAAAATCCCTTGTACTGACAGGAGGGGTGGGGGGTGTATTTCAGTACAGTATTTCACTGTGCAGCAGGCCTGGGACCATTGCTAGCAATACAAGAACAAGGAGAATCTCTTGATAAGTATGGATCTCTGACCCTTGAAGATGTGCACTGTCATGTAGTTTTGTGTTGAGTATTGGTAAGGAAGCTGTGTTGTGACTTTCATGTCTGAACAATGCACTGGAGTCATTGTTTCCTTGGCGATTTTTGTATTTCAAGGTCTTTACAAAATGACTTCCGACTTAAAAAAAAAATCTTTTAAGTTTACATATCATTTATCTGATCTGAAAAGACAGTTATTTCAGTTGACTGAGTGATTTGTCCACTTCTGAACGGAATAGATGGAATATTTAGAAACAAACAGTTAGTATTAACAACTTTCTCTGGCAGTGCATAGCAGAACATGCACATAAACAGGAGCAGTCCTAAGCCCAGCAGAAGGAATTGCTCCTGGCAAGTGTTAGCAGGGAAAATGATAACACTGGCAGTATCTCATCACTGTACACAGTGCTGGGAGGTCAAAACGTTTGTCCCATGTTGCTTTCCCTATTTCCTTCAGTTTGACACGCTGAGCTAAAGAGATGCCGACCTGCTGGCACAACCCCAGCAGATCAAGCTGTTGATGTCAAATATTTTCAGCCCCTTCAGGGTAAGAGCCCTGTGCTGCAGCCTTGCCAGCCAGCCACAGGAACCTTCACTACATCCTACAGGCACTTTATTCCCTCTGCTGCTGCCTGAACAGCATCGGATGAGGAAAGGTGGTTGTGCCTCTTCCCTTTGCCGTTTTCCCTTCCCTGGGGCAGGCACAGGGGACGGGGCTGTGTCCTGACAACAGTCCCTGGGCTGATGGGCTTTGTATCCTTTGCCTTCCCACAGCTTTCTGTAACCACCTCAAGAATGGTAACCACCACTCTCAGGATTCATTGATAAGAAAAATCACATAGTAAAGAATGTGAATGAAAAGAAGAAGTTTTCTGTCACAGCTGCAGTTTAATGCACTTCTTACAATGTTAATTGTTTCCAGGAGTTTGAACACTTCATCTTCATCCCTTTCCACCTTTCTCAAGAGTGAACTTGTGTCTTTCTTTCTGTGTAAGGAGAAGGGCATCTCTGGCACTTTCCTTTTAGTGGCCCAGAGGTCACCTTTGTGAGGTTTTTCTACCTTTCTGTCCTTTGATACTGTACAATCTCAGATATCAAGTTGCCTTTCATTCCAATTATAGTCTGACATTAACTACTCTGGATATACACTGATACTTCCTTATCTTGATTAACAATGTGCCACAGAATTAAATACAGTTTCAATATCTCACTTAAATAGAAAATTGAAAAAAAAATCAGTGTCTAGGCTTAACTTCAAATACATAAATCTGACTCATTCACTAAAGCACCAAGTTTCAGTTTTTATTTTGAACTTTATTCACTATAAGTTTAGCTATAAGGTTGCTCTAAAGCAGTATAATCTTTAAATATCTAATTCAATAGTAACAATCTTAAAAAGACTGAAAACAAAATGAAAAACAGTACTGAGCAAAAACTCAGAAATCTCTTCAGGAACTTGCTGGATAGTACCTACAGTTTGTAAAGGGTGGCATCACACTGAGGAGTTCATGGAGACAAGGTACTCTTGCTAGTATTCACCTTTGTTAAGTACAGAAGCTTCTAATGACCACGTGGTTGTAATATTTTGTAGTAAAATACTCAAATTTGACCTAAGTGTATGCTTACAGTTCGGTGCGGTGATTCCTTAGGAGTGGGGGAGAGGACCTTATTGCAGACCTATTTTCTGACAGTTAAATAGGTGATTAAAACCCCATCCAAACAGGAAACACAACAACAAACCTCAGCTGGTCTTTTTGCCCTCTTGCCAACACAAGATAAATGAGATGTGAGCTGGAGGGGCCTTGGCAGACGTGTCTCTGGGCTGTGACAGGGAAAGCAAGAGCTGGGGGCTGGTGCAGAGGCACTGAAGTGACTGTAGGATACCCAATCCCAACCAGAAGGCATCAGCAGCTTCTTGGAATACTCTTTTTCCTTCCCTTGTTTTCCTCCCATCATTTTGTGTATCCCAACCAGTCCTTATTCTAGACAATTTAGTTGATGGGATTTACTTCAGAGAGACAATTTTATAAAAACACATGCAAATGTACATCTTCCAAAGCCAAACAGAAAAACAGCTCTGAAACAAGTCAGCACCTCATCCCACCATCAGAACTGGAGCAGGCTGTGCCAAGGGAGCTTTAGTTCTTGTTTGGTTAAAAAGTGAGCTTGTGCCATTTATAATAATTGTAATAATAATCAAGTCTAAATCAAACCCACACACGGTTATACTTCTCTTGTTTTAACAGTTCTCTATTATGCTCATGATAGGTACTGATGGCTTAGTTTAAGAGAAAAATTCAGGGCTTGTTGATCCATGTTTTTTTTCTCAGAATTGTTTGTGCTCTGGAGGGATGTTTCCATCTCAAGTACAGTATTCACTCTAGTGGACTTGTTGTGTAAGTCAGTGTAGCTTAATCAAATACAGAAGTGGATAAGAAAAAGATTAAATTTTGGGTTCAGACCAACATACACACACATTTAATATACCCACCCTGCCTGTATGGGTAGTGTAGAAAAATAAATGGGTTTTGTTTGTTTGTTTTGTGAAAATCGATGGTTCTATACAGACAAGTGATACACCTTAAAAGAAAAATAACAAAATTAACTCTGTGGTTTCATTTGGTCTGAAAGCAGCCTCCTACGTGGAACACTTAATTTGCCAAGACATTCTGGCAGCTCTCATCGAAAGTCCAGTATAAGCTTTACTGGTTTGGCTCATTAAATTGAAAATGGGCTTGGAAAAGGTCATGGGGAATTAGAGGTTAGAGAACAAATAATCAAAGCAATTAGCTATAACTTGAATCTTCTGAGCTGCCTAAAAGACAAAGCAGACCTGACCTTGTCAAAGAGAGAAGGATATTAAAATTGCATACCAAGAAGTAATCCAGGAAGGTTATTACAGCTATGTAGAACATTGCAGAAGTTTGGGTTTTGTTGTTGCCATTTTAGTTTGTTTTCTTTTTCTTTCTTTTTTTTTTTTTTTTAAGAATAAAAATATCAAACCCCTCCCACACTCCAAAGATATGATTCTGCTATTCTGGTACCAAGCTCCCTGTGTGTTTTAAAGGTTTCTGATCCACAGTGAAGATTGTTTATTTATATTGTGCTGGTAGGTACATTAAAGTCTGGGGGTCTGATCCTTCTCACACAGTGTACTGTAAATCAGAAATAACTCCATTGAACTGAGTCATGTCAGTGTAAAAGTGAGGGAGGAGGAGAAACAGACCAGGAATGTCCATGTTAATTTTGATTAAAATAATCCAAAATAATCCATTCGGTGAAACCTGAAAATGTATACCCAGTTGTTAAATGCCTTTTCCCTTGAAGTATGTTCATATAAAATTCTTGTGTGTTCTTGTATCAACCATGTCTCTGAATTTTATAACATGTTATATGGCAATGCCAAATTGCCTTGAAGAAATTTAAAGCTATCCATGTTGCATTACTTTTTTGTTGCTGTTTGTTTTGTCCTGAGGTAAAGGGGTCTCTATTAATAGAGTTTCTTAAAGAATTTTTTTAAAAATTATTTTGTTTTTGTTAAGTTTCAGGCACATGTCAGATAAATGCCTGCTCAAGGTCCGAAGTAGAATCAGACTAACAAAATGAAAACAGGTTGTATTTCTTTTTTAATTTATTAAAGGGTTGTCAGAGGAACACTTGGTTCACATGAGTACCCTGAAGGTTAACACTGGAGTTCCCAAGTTAGAGCTCTTGACACGATCTTGACCCTCCTCATCTTCTCTGCTTCTCACATTGGCTGATATTTTCAGAGCTGTTCTACACCTTCTTCACTGACTTAAAATATTTATATCAGGACCACTGTGTTAATCCCAGTGCCTACAATTAACATTTTCATGTGTGGGCATGCTTTAATGAGGGTTTGCATTTACTTCTCAGAGATTACTTCAGTCTGAGAAAGATGGATTCCAAAAATTGAAGCTGCTCTCTCCAACAGAGATTATTCTGCTCCACAGCCCCAGCCAGAGCTGTGTAATTCATCCCAGCTCAGGAGTTTGGCTCTGCTGCCCTGAGAGTGTTGGGAAATGGGAATGTAGTGTGTGAAAGTGTTCACTGCTGAGGAGGGGATTCTGCTGGACTGGAACACAGAGAAGGCTCAAGGTCTGAAGGCTCCCTTGACATCCAAGAACTGGGATGTTTTGCTGAAATGAAAATCCGAGATGAACTGTCTGAGCAATGCAGCCCCTTTACCAGCACCCAGGGGCTGGGTGCAGGGACTGCTGGCAGGCTGGCTGGGTGGAAGGCTGGCACTGCCCTGCCCGTGCCCATCAGCCCTGTGGAAGGGGCTGGGAACTGCCCTGCTCAGAGAGGAAAGGAGTCGGAGTGATGGCATCCAAAGGCTGCACCACAGGGCAGCGTTTGTGAGAAGTGCTTTCAAAGAGCTGAACTGTCTTTTGGGATGTCAGAGGAGAGAGCAACTGATGAGTTGAAGGTGACAAAGGGTCACTTCTTCAGGGCCAGAAATGCCTTCAGAAATACAGACTTCCAGCAGCAGCAATCTGCCCAAGTTGTGACACAGCAGTTTGGTGTGTGGAGTCCTGAGAAAAACCAGAGCACTGCTCTGTGTTTAACAGCAATGCTGAACTTATAAACTTCCTACAGCCTACTAGAATAACATTTCAGGATCTATTCAGCTTGTGGTCTTACCATGCTCCTCATGTTCTAGATAAAAGAAAATTACATTCTGTGTTTTTGATGAATATGGACAGAATGACTGAATGATATGAAGCAGGATTATTTTTTTTTATTATGGTGAAAGGTGTGATTTTGTCAGATTGCTTAATGTAGGTGAACCTGCAGTGAGATCCTTTGTTGAACTCTGTTTTAAAATGAGGCTAAAGAGATGATTTAAAATAATTTTATTATGGCCTATATTGGTTTCCAAAAATAAATCACACATTCTATATGACTTTCATTACACCTTCTTCCAAATATGGAATATTTGGTTGGATTTCTAGTTATTCAAGAACTTATTTTTGATTTTTCTTTCCTTTTTTGAGGGTGAAAGAAAAGATGTGGCAAAGTGATAATTTTATATCAGATAGTAAAGGCTCCTGTTTATTTGAAGTTAGTTTTCTTTTAGAAAAACACATGGATCATCTAGTTGTGATCATTTGAGTGTAATTTGATGTATTCTTAATAACAGATTCACCTTTTATTTGACGTATTACAATAATGCCTTTCTTGGAGGTTAAATGACTTTTATTTTCAGGTTCTTTTTTGGTTGTGTGTGTGTATGTGTAGTTATAGTAAAATATTAAAGAGTAGACTATTCCTCATTATTAACTAGCCAGCAATGCATATGAACTTAGGAAATAGGAACAAATTGCTCTAGGCCAAAGCAGCTGACCTACAAACAAAATGTGTTTCATGCACCTTTTACATGTTGTCAGAATGTATTTTAAATCTTGTAGGATAGATGGAAATCAATGGTATTTGTGCCCTTATGTCAGCTTTTCCCTGGGGATTATATGAACTGTATAGTCCCTATATTAAAGGGTTTACTGCTCTGTGAGACCTACACCAAATCCTTGCTCCTTGTCCTCTGAGTTGTTCTGGATTCAGGATTTAGGAACATTCCTCATCTTCAGTTCTTTTTCTCATTAAAGTTCTGACCTTACATTGCTCTGAATTGTAAGCAGAAAAGATGACCATCACTAAATCTAGAGGCAAAACCAAATAATACACAGAGTATTATCAAAGGCTTAATCTTGAAATGTAGCAAGGAGCAGTTTCCTGAATTATATATTATCATTTTCTGTCCTTTTTTGACTAGACTGTAGGTGGATGTCTTTGCAGAAGTCCCAGGTTCTGTAGAAGACACATGAACGATGGTGATGTAGCAACTGTGCCCCCTGCCAGCCTTTCTTCATGGGTAGTACTTATTTATTAAACAAATAAATAAACAATGCCTTTAAATCCCCTTTCTGAGCAGGGGAGAGTCTGAGGAGACTCTGTGCTCTGTCAGGTTCGTGTCTGCAAACAGCTGGACACAGCCCCAGGCTGAATGTCCTGCCTCAGGTCAGATGCAGTTTGTTAATCCAGTCTGAGTGGAAGCCAAGGCTTGATTTGCAGGACCTTTTCTGAATGCAGTGTTGTATTTTTAACAATAAATAATATCATCTATTTAAAAATGACAGACCCCCTCAAGAAATATTTATTGTGACCCAGCATCAGATGTGATGCTTCCCATGAAGCCCAGGCTGGTTTTGTGTAATATTTGCTGAAGTATCTCCTGGCAGGAGCTGTCCCAGGCTGAGGGACATGGCAGAGTCTCATCAAAGCTGGACAGGAAGGGTTGGCTTCCTCTTACAGCTTCTGCATTTGTCCTTTGTTATCAGCTGTGCAGAAAATGAGGGCTTTGGACTTTCCCATTTTTAGGAAATCTGGAGAAATCATATTGCTTATTTATTGATGTTGGTCTAGAGATAAGTTCATATCCAAGATGATGTAGTAGGTCATAAAGTTTTCTTTAGAAAGCTGGTAAATCAAAAATCAAAGAGGAAGAGATTTTTCTGCATTGTTGTCGTCAACCCCCTGTACCCTAAAAAAGTGTGGAGAGGAATGTTTTGCTTTGTATAAAATGTCAGTTCTGCTGTGAAGTGCCTGGTACTGTTGATTACAGGAATAGTAGAAGATGGAACTTCCAAGTACAAAACACCTGGCAGTTCTTAGAAGACCAAACTATATTACTTTAAAGTGAAATGGAGTGGAGTGAAACCTCAAGTTTTAAAACAGGGTATATGAAATTTTCTTTTTCAGTGATTATGTTCTGTGATCCAGTGCAATGAAATTCTAAAAATTGAGAGGAGGAATTATCAAGGAGTCCCAGCCATTTCTGCATTCAGGGATTGCATGAAAATATGTAAGTTGTCTAACTTCCTTTAATAGTGCTTGCCAGTTGACTGAATTTAACATTTTAATCACCTTCATGTTCTGGATATATGCAATTGGTTGTTATACTCCTCAGGAGGTTTTTGGTGCAAAGTGACAGTGTTGTGAATTTGTTTTATTTATTTTTTTTTTAAATGCATGTGTGAGGATTGGTGAAGATTATAAAACATGAAACGTGAAATAAAACTTCATTAATTAATTGACTAATAGCATACAACATTGTTCTAGCAGAAAGTTGTCTAAAAAATGCAATATTTTTAAGTAACATTGCATCTTATTAACAACTGAAGTCTTGGCCATATTATCTTGTTCCGAGTTGGAACCTAGTGGGTGTTCTGAATCACCACGAAGTCCTCCCCAGGAGGCTGTAGAATCACTGGACAGTTCCTAGAACTCGACTTTGATCTTGAAAATTTAAAATAGAACTAAAATGTGAAACAGTTGCATAATCTTCCCAGCTGTAGCAAAACCAGAATCAGCCCAAGCAAAGCTTGCCTGGGACAGTGTTCAGGGACCCGGGTGGGCACTGGCATCCTGGTGGGGGGGAGGGAAGGCATGGGCTGGGGGGGTTGCCTGGCAGTGCCATCAGGTACCACCTCAACTTCCATGGGAGGGGGAAAGGAGTGTTTGAACCATACACTGAAATAAGAGGTGTCCAAGGTTTTTTTCATCTATCAGAGTTATGTGCAGGGACAGAAGATTTTTCCCCCTGAGGTGAAGGCTGTAAATGCAGGCAGGGGGGCAGGATCAGAGTTTAGTGAAGGCAGAGGGAGGTTCCCAGGGGAGCTGGGATGCAGGGCAGTGTGCTGGGCTTTGATGGCTGCAAAGAGGAGTGAAAGACACATAAAGACAAAATACAGATAATAAAGTGAATCTAGACCTTCAGACCTGACCAACATAAAACATTTATTTGGGAAAGAATGGTCTTGTTGCAGTAAATATAATAATCTAACACGTTCAGCTTTTAGAGGTGGTTGTTGCAGAGAGGAATTTGGTGAGGAGTGCTGGTCAGGTTGCAAACACGTGCACTGAAATGCAAACTGAGTATTTACAGCCCCTGTGAGAAATGTTGTACTTTTTTTTTTATCTCTAACCTTTAAGTAACTTTGTATAATTATAAAATAATTATCTGATAACTATGTTTTCTGCTGAAGCTTGGATTAGGAAATCAAAATTCAAGGGAGGGAGAGTAAACTTAGAGGAGGCACCTTGCAAAAATGGCATCCTGCTGAAGTTGGAAAGCTGTTAAGCTCATACTCACTTTTACACTGATGTAACTTCATAGTTAGAAAAGTAAATCCACTTTTAAATTGGGTAACTTGTTGGTACATTAAACCAATTGACACTTCTGGGGATTGCATAATTATAAATTGTTGTATATGACACACTGCACTGAAATCATTCTAACAAAAGATCAAAACCAGTTTAAAAAAAAGTTCCAATTCACTTTCTGAACTGGTTTCTTCGAATGTGACAGAATACACAACCCTGGAAGAAAGACAGAAAATTAAATATTGTACAACTCTGCCCAATAATAGATTATGACACGTGGAATTTATGAATCTTGTGACTTGTTCTTTATTGATGAGAAGCTGATCATAGCATTGGAATTAATAAAAGTGCAGTTAAAACCATTCACAAATGATGCTGCAGCCTAAGTGGAAGGAGGCTTTATTGATTTCCACTGTCAGCTGGGCTTGAGAGACATATACCATATGTTCAACATATGAAAATAGCAGAAAGAAAAATCAAAAGAAATCTCTCCTACTCTATCAACTAATAAAGTTTTAAATGTTTGTAAAGAATTGAGTGGGCTCAGTGCAGCACATCCATGTGTATTTCATAATATCCCATCATTTAAATGAACAGCACAAGTAATCAGCTAAAATATATTAAGTACATTTTTGCTGAAGAATTTATTTAAAACACAGTTTTACCATTTTATCAGTGTTTTTCTGGA